TTTTTTGGCTACACCATTTATCTGCTCCCTTCCTCCTTCACCCGTAGTGTCCTTTCCTAAGGTTCTGTAAAATGTTATTGTTATAATCTGATGTGATGGATCAGTGATAATAAGTCTCTTACAAGTACAAAATGGTGTGCATCATATTCTTTATCTGATGCCGGTTTTCTTTTCTTTTTTTTTATTTTTGAAGTATGGATTTATTAGCACGATAGACAGAAAGATACGAAATTTTTATCTCATCACTAAATATGAAGCCTAGACTGTTGGCAATGCAATGCCAATATTTTTATTTATTTCATAACTTTCTTGAGACCATGGTTAATTGTTGTTTTTCCTGTGGAAATTATTCTGTATTTAGATGCCTTCACTTGCAAAAGGAATAGTTGTCTACTTCACAATGACGAAATCAGTTGTTTTATTTTGTTCATTCTGCTACAGGTGCTTGTATGCTCCAGAGATGGGAGTGTACTCATTTGAAGTGGTAATAGTAGCAGATAATTGTTTGACTTTGTTATGCTTTATTATCTTATAACCAAGGCAAAGCTTAGTGAAGTGTCATTGCCAAAAAAAAAAAAAAAAAGGGAGAGAAAGATCAGCTATTAATTTCCTAACCTGAAGGGTTTTGCCTCTCTTGTATCCCCTAGGAAAGTACACAATAAAATGACGACTTTGATTATTGTTAATTGCACTTGTTGAATTAATCCAGTATAAGGGCGATCTACAATGGCAATACAATATTGGAGATCCAATTACTGCATCTGCCTATGTTGATGAACACTTGCTGCTCCAGTCTGATTCCTCCCCTTATTCAGACAGGTAAATTGTATCCGTTGATTTTATTAACTTGAGAAAAAAGAAAATTTGTTAACTATGAAGCACTGATATTAGAAAGGAAAATTTAATAAACGTGTTTTTTTGTTTTTTTTTTTAATACCAATTCATGATTTACACTTTTAACAAGCTCATTAATAACGTTTTTAAAGATTGAAATCCACTTTTTAAATTTGATTGGAAAGTATATTAAACTTATAATCTTAAGTAATCTAAGTCTTAATTTTCTCTATTTAGAAATTGAAGCAATATTGTCTAAAATGCATGGCATCAAACCGCCCAAAATCACTACTTATGTTGTTGGATTTTAATATCCATATATTGGAGGAATGTGCTCGGCCAAATATCAATGTCGTGTCTGATATTTGTGTCAGCATACACACCTTGTGTTGAATAGTTGTTCTTTTCAGGTTAATTTGCATTTGTTCCAGTTCTGGAGGTGTGCACATTCTTAGAGTGAACTTGGAAGAAGATGAAGATACTGATCAACCTAGAACTAGTGCGGAGGAATGTGCTCGGCTAAACTTGGAGGGAGATATATTCTCTTCCCCTGTAATGATTGGCGGCAGGATTTTTGTGGGATGTAGGGATGATTACTTGCACTGCATTTCTCTTGAAATTCCATCGGAAAGTTGAATAAATTTTTTTCTCCTTTGTTTTTTGTGTGGCAAAAGTTGAATAATAAAACTAACTACTAGTCTTTAATATAAGAGTTAATTTGACATTCTATTTGATTCTAAATATAAGATATCAATTTACTTTGTCTCTCATATTATTTATTTTTTTCAAAGTAGTCCTTACAGTAGTTGTATATATTAAAGTTTCATCAAATGGTAATTTTAATTAATACATATGGTTAGCAGGAGTATTTTAAGGAGCACAATGCCTATGTTTTTCATATAACTAGGTTAACAAATTTTTTCATCTACTCAAATTAGTTAACCAGCTTTTATATTAAGGATTGGAGGTATATTTTTTAGAATGATTATTTTTTGTTGAAATTTAATTGTTGCTGGTGATAAAGTGCTTGGGGGCAAGATGACAATTTTTTTTTCCCCTTTTTTTGTGTCCAATTCTCTGTTTAAAATTCCTAAATGGTGTTTGTTATTTATATTTCCATTGATGTGAACGCTAGAGAGTGAAACATCCTTCCTTTAACCCCTCCAAAGTATGTACTCGTAAGCGTTATGGTTCAAGCAGATCTCGACACAAGCTCGTGGATTTAAAATTTCAACATAATTACTTGGGTTACTATTCATTTGGTAAAATGGGAACTTTCAGATTCCGTGTCTCAATTTTGGAAATTTGTATCTCCTTGTGTACACATCCAATTAATGTGTTCTACCTATTATTTTAAAGCTTGAGATGTGTACAACGTGTCTGCCAAACTTTATGGCATGACTCTTTCATTTGATAGGTCAAACTGGAGCTGGACGTTGACTGCTCCAGTACCTATGTTTCATTCATTAAACAATTCTTACTTTAATTCTCCCCTCATTTGAACATGCAACAACTAGCCTTATGGACATTCATTTATATACCTTTCTATTCATGCCATAAACATTCTAAACAAATATATTACATCATTAGTATTCATATACATAATTTATACAATAGGAGAATTATACATTAACCAATAGCTTCAATCATTAACATGAATAATTTTTCACTTTCTTCTTCCTTCTCATGCTCTTCTTCATGCAATCATTGTCCATTATACTTGACCTAAATGGTGGGTTAGGGAGGGGAGATTCGGGAGAATTTCAGTAGCAAATAATAACCACTCAAACATACACTGCAAGCTTAACATTTAACATGTTTGCAATTTAATATTTTATAACATAATGACATGTTTAGAAACCATCATGCATTTATTATAAACACATAGGCTTATGGCATATTTCAAACACACATTTACAATCACAACACGAGTTCATAAAATCATATAACATAAAAATATGTCATATATACGCAAGCAAATGCCAAGCACAAAAGAGTAAGGTCAAATTTGCTACCTTTGTCCTTAAGCTTTCTTTTTACTTCCTTTTGTTTTCAACCATTAAAGTTGCTTGCTCAACCACATCTAAACTTTCTCTTGGATGCCTCAAGGTCCTAATCACAACCACAAGAGTCACATTATTCATTAGGACTAAGAATTACACAATATGGAAGACTTATGTCCTTAAACTTAATATCTTTTTTAATTTATAATGCAGTATTCTAGCTTTGTAAAAATTGTCCCCTTAGGCCAAACATACACAATTTTGTCCAAGGAATCTAAATATTAGCTTAGATTCATCAAAATCCAATTCCTTCCCCTGGTTCTAGGCCAAAACCGAAATCTGCCACTTAATTTTCAGTTTTGATTTCAATGCTTCCAGCTTCATTCTTTCATCTTATCCTTACACAATTTTTCATTTTAAACACACTGGAAGCATCAAAATCATCAAAATCACATCCTAGGTACAAGAACCAGGTCTAGCCGAAATATTTCCTCAAGTTACACAATAATGAAATCCAACCAATTTCAGCATAAATCCACTTGATTCGTGTTTCTTTCAAGTCTTTAAACATTATTCTAGCATTAATTTCATCTTCCCTTACACTTAACAATTTCGTGCAGCACCTTCCTTAAGGGTTTCAAGCTCCCAAAAATCATTAAAATCTATAACCAAGCTCAACAACAAGAGTAGTGAAAACTACATCAAAAACCATGAACATATCTTATTTTAGAGCTTGATCTTGCATGAGACCACTTGACCTTTCTTTCTCCCTTTTCTTTCTTTCTCTAGAAATCTTTTGCCAAAGCTTCCCCAAGGTTTCCATGACTTAGGACGAAATGAGAGGGAGGGGAGGGGTATTTATAGAAAATAAGACCAAATCTGTCCGTTGATCTTAAAATACATGGCTTGATCTGGACCGTCCATTTTCTCTTTTAATCTTATGTGTGTGACAAGTGTCCCATGACATCATGCTTACCTCATCATGATGACATCATGCTTACATCATCAATCCACATGCTTCTAATCCGACAGTACACGTGTCTTGCATCCAGCCATACACGTAATACATCCTTTTCTCATCTAACTGTACACTTGTCTCCTCCATATTCTTTCATCATTAAGGCATTAAAATAGGGAGGAAATTAATATAAAATTCGTGCAAAATACCACCCTTAGGTATTCCTCCCCCTATCTTGTCATTCTGCACCGTATAAAGTATTTTTTCGGGCCCTTGACTTACCCGCGACCACTAGGACATGTTCTGGTACCATTTTCTCTCCTCAAATAAATTCACATGGCATTATATAACATGCCCAAAGATAGAGTGATGCTCTTTCCTTGTTTTTCCATTAAAATAATTAAAATAATTAATAATATTCATTTCAAAGTGATCTTGACCGAATTCTTTCTACCGGTCCATAACTCTGAGAATCTATCTCCAGGTACCAATACTATTTATTCATCATAGGGAATTCCCTAATTTTTCTTAAGTTGAAAGTCAACCTCTAGACATTTGACTTTGACTTTTCCCGGATAGTATGTAAATAGGCTTTAGATTCCATTAAAGCCAACCTTTTCACTTTCTGGGGACGGAATTATTTTTAAAACCTGTGATAATTCTTCAAGTATTTTCCTCATTTTCTTTCAATTATTTGAGGCCTCCCTATACTTTAAATAATTTATTTTTAATAATATTCCAAATCAATCAAAACCCTAGGAATTCCACAATTTCCTTCTAGGGGCATTTTCGTCATTTTTAGCCTCATATAGGCTACTGAACCTTATTCCCATTTTTTTTGGAATTTTTATGAAGTGTTCGGGCCTTAACCTATCATTTCCCATTTTCTGGGATTTTTCTGAAATTTTCGGGCATAATTTCTATTTTTGCCTTTACTAGCCCAAAACTTTATGAAATTACAGTTTTGCCCCTGGTTGGCTTAACCTCAAAATTCACCTCATTGAGGCCTCCAACATAACTATTGGCCTACATTTATCTCTATTTCTTATTCTTGGGTTTCGAGACTTCTTCTAAGTCTCTAACTTTCTATTTTCTTAGTCCTAGAAAGCTTTTTCTTTGCTATTTAGTCCGTGGGAATCTCTCTATCCTTCTAGGGAGTCTCTGGGACCTCTGCCAAAAAGGGATCTAGTAGCCTCCCAATTCAGCCTAATTTCAGTACTTTTAGGCCTAAAATCCAGGATGCGACAATTCTCCCCCTCTAAAAAGAAATTTCATCCTCGAAATTTCCGGGTCAAACCTCTATCCTTACCCTTAATGAGAGGTCAACTGAAGAGAATATCCCCACTTATACTCAACTTTGGCCTCTTTAACTTTTCATTATACCTCATTGCCAGGTTTCAATCCTGGAATTCATGCTAACATAACTTTCCCTTTCTTACTTTTCTGGCTTTTTTACAAGCATGGCCTTTGCTTTTACATATTTTGTCATCACTGCTTGTATTCTTCCTATACTCTGGGTCCATTCTTTCATAATAATACCATGACAATGTACTTGTCTTCATGGTATTTTACTATACCATAGCATTTCAAGTTCCTTTAACACTGCCTTTATCAGGTCTTTTCAACATATTTTGTCATTCTCATCTTTACCTTAAGGGCCTATCTCCTTTCTTTTACATTCTCATTTCACATATAACTTGCTTGAATACATCGTTCAAGACTTATAGTTCGAGGCTCAATTAACAATAATCGTGTCTGTGAAAAAGTCAAGGATACTCTTTCGGTACTAGTTAATCACTGGAGTGGGTTTTTATGTCTTAAACTCATCCCTGGTCCTTTCATTACCAAGACTTACGAGGAATCACCCTCATGGCTTTAACGTATCTAGCCTTACAAGGAATCACCCTCACAGCTGAATGTGTCATCCCATGCTTATGTCTTAAGAGGCATCGTCCTCTTAGCTTAACATGGAACCCTGTTCTCACATCTCGAGAGGTACCATCCTCTCAGTTTAGTCTCTTCCCTTGACTGTATCCAAGAGTAACCATTACTCGATTCGCACCTTGAATTAGATGGGGCGACTCTGGAATTTCAGTTTGTGTACGGATAGGGGTTCTTTCTTCTTGATGAAGTGTCAGGGCATCTCTCGCCTGATGGTAGTCCCTCATATAGTGTCCTATTTTGCCACACCTGCAGTAGATATTCGATCCTGCTAAATAAGGCCTGCTCTTATGATGTTTTCCACATAGGTTATACCCTTTTATTCCTCTTGGTAAATGGAACCTCATCTGTTTACGGCTTCTTCTGGTCCGCCTGCTCCTTCCAGGTCTCTTCCTTTTAGCTGTACTTCCTGGTTCAAATTTCTTATTTCCAAAGGTGTCTTCCATCCTGACATACTGGTCCTGATCCCTTTCCAACACTTTGCACACTTCTACTACTGTATTGAAATTCATCAGCTGCATAGGGGCTATGTGTTCTCGAAGACTAGGCTTGAGGACTTTAACCAACTTTTCTGTGTTCCACTTTGCGGCTTGCTGTAGGAAAGTGGAATAAGGTAACAAATAGAAATTTGAAAATTTGTCAAATGAACAGTACACTTTGACGAATTTCCTGGAATTATTCTGGATGGAATTGGACCTAATGAATATTTGTTCTCCATAGAACTCTTAGCAAGCTTCGTATGAAAATTGGAACCACATCGTTTTGATTTTTCTAGATTTAGTTATGAATTTTTAAAATTGGCCCATTTTCAGATGAACAATGTACAT